GTTCTTTGAAGCTGAATTTTGATGAGAGTAGCCAGGGTAACCCGGGTCCCTCTGGGATGGGAGGTGTACTGAGGAAAGAGGCTGGAGAGGTTGTCTTAATCTACTCTGGCCCTTTAGGAGTTGGGAACTCTATCCAGGCAGAACTGCTAGCTGCAATACAAGGAATACTTCTTGCAAAAGAAGTGGGCGTTGAGCAGTTTCTGATTGAAGGAGACTCTAAGACAGTGGTAGACTGGTTAAATAATCCGGAGGATGTCACTTGGGGCTACAAAAATGAGTTAAAGAAATTCAAATGGTTGACAAGAAATATGTCTATAACAGTACAATGGGTTGGGAGATCAGCTAATGCTTTTGCTGATGTCTTGGCAAAACAAGGGATAAATAGGGAAACATTGTTCTGGGCACAATTGTAACTATTGTTTTAATTTCAACATTCATGTTTTCTCTGTTGTAGTTTGTGTATTTGCTGTTTGGAGAGGCTGCTCCTCACGCCTCCAAGGGGATCTTCTTGTATCTATTCATTATTTTAATGGAATTGATGTTATTTATCAAAAAAAAAAGTAGATGGAAATGTTGAAAGGTACAAGGTAAGCTTAATTGCAAAGAGGTAGACTCGAATGTATGGCATAGAATATAAGGAGACTTTCTTCAGTAGATAAGATGCCTAAGATAGCTTCAATTATTGTATTGGTATCTATTGTTTTTCATTATTCTTGTCCATTTTATCAATTTGATGTGAAGAACGCATTTTTGAATGGAAACATGCATGAAGTTTACATAGCATCACTTTTAGGCTTTTATCTTAGTTTTAAGAGAGGGGAGATATATTGCCTCAAGAAGTCATTGTATGGTTTAAGGCAGTCACCTCAAGTTTGGTTTGCTCAATTTAATAGTGCCCTTAGAAGGTCGGTTTTATTTAGTCTCAATCTGATCACACTTTGTTAAAACAATAGGTGAGTTGGTGACTATGCTTATTGTGTACATTGATAATGTTGTGGTGATGAAAACGATCAACGTGGAATTAATTATCTTAAACAATTCCTAGACATTGAATTTGGGGTTAAAGATTTGGGCAAATTTAGGTACTTCATTGAAATTGTGGTTGCTTGCTATAAGCATGGTGTCCTTTTTTTTTTGGGTAATTGTATAAGCATGGTATCTTTATTTCTCAAAGAAAGTATGTTTTAGATCTACTTAAAGATACATGGAAGTTAGGGGGTGATCCTATAGAGAGACTGGACCAAATAGGCCCTAGTGTCTTTTTATTTCCTATATTATTATTTGTTATGTTTATGTTAATGGGCCTGTAAACACTTTATTCATTGTTTTATGTTACGTTATGAGCTGGCTACCCCGTTAAGGGCATATTTGTAATTATGTCCTCTTAGATTAGATTAATAAAAGTAATTACGAGAAAAGAGAGGGAACTGATTGAACTCTCTTCTCTTTCTCCCTTCTTCTTTCACCATCTTCTTCTTCACTTTTCTTCGAAATTTCAGATTGAAATACCTTTTTCTTTTGGGGGTTGGTTTACATCTGATCCATTAAAAATTTCAGACAAATTCTTCTGAGGATAGTCCATTACTATACTTGTATATGGCCAAACCAAATATTTCATACACCATGTAGTACACATCAGGCAGCAACTGAATGCATCCTAGCTTACTTGAAGGAAGTTTTAGCAAAGAAATCATGTATACTTTGTGGTGATCACATGAAGGTGGAAATTTGCTTGATGATAGATGATCTACATCAGGTTATTGTGTGTTTATAGGTGAAAATTTTAATGTGCTACAAAAGTAAGAAACAATTTCCAATTTCTAGTTGTGTGTTTTAGTGCAGTAGTAAAACATAGAGCCATGGAACGAGGAGTTTTAGAGGCTTTGGTTGTGTTCTTTAATTAGGAAGTTGGGCATTTAAATTGACAAGCCAGTTGTGTTGCTTCATGATAATCAAGTAACTGTTAACATAGCCCATAGTTCAATACAACATGACAAGGCAAGGCATATTGGGATAAACAAGTCATTTTGCAAGAAAGAAGGTGCTTTCTGGTGAAGTTTGTTTTCCATTTGTCAAGACTAATCAACGGTTCAACACCTATCAGATAATTTTACGAAGGGTTTCTCTTGGTTTATGCTTGAGTTCAACTGGTTTGTGCAACATTTTAGTATGAGTAGGAATCTTCTAATATATTCCTATTATATTTATTGAAGGCTGATAGGGAGTTGATATATTTTCTATTTTCTTGGTTATTGATGCTGTTATAAGGGAAAACACCCAGGGGTGCTCTGGTAATTTCCATGTCGTAGAGTGCTATATAGATAATGGAAAAGGGCGATATACCTAGTGCTTTTTTCTCCTCTCAAATCTGTTTTCTGTTGCTCCATTTTCTCTCTTTTCTTCTCTTTTACTTCCCGCTTTAATTTGTGTTTTCAAAACTAATTTAATAATCAATTGATTTCTTAGAGAAACTTTTGTGATGTTTAGAATGATGATTTGTAAGATGCTATTTATTTTCAATGCATTTTGAGTTATAAAGATCTATACTAACAACCTAATGTGAATCTGTTTTAGCTATATGAACTCAAATGAACTACTCTTAACCAAAATGCCAATAGTTTTTACCTACGCATTATTTTGCTGGGCCAAAATGCCTAAGCACTGCGTGGCTGCCTTAACTACACTGCTGATAAAAAGAGGGCTTTTCTCTCCTTTTTGTCATGAGAAAGAGAGAGAGGGCCACTGGCATGGAACTTACCACAGGGGAAGGTGATGTGGTGAATATGTCGAATTCTTTTGTAAGTCCATTACCCAATGCTGGTCTTTTCTATCTGAGCTCTTGGGTGGAGAAGATTGGATATGGACATAACAAGTAGGGTCCTTTTGTCAGCTAAATTGCCATGTGTAGATTCTGGATCACTTTTTTCTCTTTCTCCTGTTTACTGTATGTGTGCATGCATGTGTACATTGCTGGTTTAGAGAATATGATTGAGTTCTCTCTTGAACCATAACAGGTTATAAGAGATCGCAAATGGAGAGATGTCATTACCATTTTCAATTTCCCGAGCACCATTACTAATGCATCCTTTGTATTGCGCAAGTACTACATATCATTGCTTCACCATTATGAACAGCTGTATTTCTTTCGTAAAAACAGCCCTTCAATCCAGGCATCTGGTATACTTTTACTTTGATCGTTATAAGTTCTACATGTTTTATTTTGTGCCTATGTATTATAATTTTGTTGAATGCTATGTTCTTATACAGATTCTGTACCCAAAAGCCCTGTCAGTTGCACAGGAGCCACACCATCTACTAGTGAGAAACAAACCACCACGGATCAGTTAGCAGGTCATACACTAGTCTTCTTTTCCTCCTGGTTTTTGTTTGAAGCATATTCTATGTGAAATGATTGTGAACAATAAAGAAATAACAAGGATTTGTTCCGCTCTGCTGTTTTAATGCTGATTTGAATGCAAGCCTTCATGTGTAAAACATAAAGCAACTCAGGGCCAACTCTGCCGTTGCATGGTTGGGAGAAATGGGTCCTTATCCAGAGTACAGAAACCACTGCATAACTCTACTGCAATTAGTCATGACTGCCAAAGCATATACATAATGAAACCAATTAATCATTAAAAGGAATGAGGAAAAAATAAAAATAAAAAAAAGAGTAAGAACCAAACCAAGAAAACTGTTGTTTAGCTTGATTATTCAGAAGATTGGATGTGGCTACTTGTTTGAGATGGCTGAGCTATCCTATTCTTATAGAAATTTATAGATGGTACCTTGTATAAAATATTGATGGGGAAGTGATCCCTGCATTTTATATTTCTAAGAATTGGATCTCTCCTATAGAATTTGGGTGCTAAAAGTTTTTGGTCATCTACAGGAACTTCAGAATTGAGTGCTGGATGTCGGGTTACTGGGATAATTGATGGAAAATTTGACAATGGATATTTAGTGACTGTGAGTTTTGGTCCCAATAAGCTGAAAGGTGTCCTGTATCATGTTCCTCCTGAGTTACAGATGTCTCTGAGTTCTAATACTTCAACTGTACCTCCTCGTCGGCACCGAAAAAGATCCAGGTTGGCATTGAAGGATCCCTCTCATCCTAAACCAAACAGGAGTGGTTACAATTTCTTTTTTGCTGAGCATTATGCCCGACTGAAGCCTCTGCACCATGGGCAAGAAAAAGCCATCAGCAAGAAGATTGGACACCTGTGGAGCAAACTGACTGAGTCTGAAAAACAGGTCTGGTTAAGGATTTTATCTTTTTTATCTCTTGCAACTTCATGGTTGAAGTTCTTTCTAATGCTTGAGTGGCTACTGGCTAATCCAATCCTTGAACTTGCTTACCTCAGCATATATGAACTGCTTTCTTATATTATGAATGTACAAGTTAGAGTTATCTTATTCTAAATGTGTAATAGGTGGGTAGCAAGAATCTTGGAGATCATGTCTAGCCACCTACGACACGTTTTCTAGGCCAGTCATGTCTGATAAATATCATGTTTCCTGATGGTGACATAGGTTACTGTTAGCGTAGGGGTATTTCTGTCTTTATACTTAGATTAAGGTTGCTGATCTGTAATATTGTGTTAGAACCAGTGCCCCTTACTTAAATAAGGGCACATTATGTCTTTTCCATTAATTTTAATAATAAAAGCACATGTCTGGCCGAATGGGAGTTATGTTCTTTGACTTCTAGTTCGAACCAGATTTTCTTCTTTTCTCTCTCTCTCTCTCTTTCTTCCACTTTTCTACCTCTCTCTACGTGACTGATCTCAGACAAACAAAACTCCAAGGCAGGCCGAATCATAACATGGTATCAGAGCCACTCGAATCTGCACACCCTATCTAGGGTTTCTCTTGATTTTCCTGCATTCAATTGGAGATAAGTGGAAGGGCTGAAAAGGAGTGATTGCCCTCTCCCCTTGGAGGTTTCTATGCCTCCAGTCGTGTCTTGTGTGGTCGGTTGCTGTGGTTTCTAAGATCGCCCTCTCCTAATCGATGAAGAGAAGAGGGCCGATCTGTGTGGTACAGTGGCTGTCTTGTGTGAACTGATTTTCTGCTCGTGTGGTTGTTCCTTCAGTGATAAGGTAAGAGATTTCTGTGCATGATTTCTGGTGTGGATCAAATAGGAAGTATGTTTCAGATCATATGTTGGGGTTTCAGATAGTAGCGTGCTAGGGTTTATGTTGTTTTTGTGTATTTCGAAGGAAGAGTTGTGATCATATAGTGGTGAGATTTCAAGTAGCCGTAGGAGTAGGGTTTGTGGTGTAAAGAGTACACTTTTCAACAACAAGTGCTGAAATCAGTGTGACGAGTGTGGTCTAGTCAGGTGCAGTGTGCAGAATTCAGTGGTAATAGAATTCAGCAAGTGTGCAGAAYCGGTGATAACAGAAWGGGAGATAACAGTGATTGTAAACCTAATGTGATGGTGCCTACAGACTACCTGAATGTTCAGATGACCTCCATTAAACTAAATGGAGAGAATTATGTGCCTTGGGCTAAAT